CGTGTTTAATCACTAGCGGACAACCGTGATCAGCAACCCGTACAGAAGGTTTATACACTGTTACTGAGGAAATTAATTATGAACCATTTCCCAAGAAAGGGTGGAAGATATTTGATGTGCAGGCAGATTTCGTTACTGAAACGCACATAGTTCTCGTTATTGTGTTAATAGTGAGCTTGCTGGCGATGATCGTTGTTAGCGTTCTTTTATCGATGTTGCTCATGATCTTTCAAAGATTTCATAGCACTACAAGTTTCCGTCATAGTCATATTTTATACAGTGAATAGGAAGCATGACCAAAAGTTGGTACTGATAGTGACGGACTAAGCACCTTAATGGGGGTCACTGTGCTCAAGTTCAAAATGATAGCACAGTTTTTCAATTCATGCGTACTTTCTGTTTCAGAACTGTCATGATCTTGAACGGATGGATCTCGAAGACTGCAGTCTAGTAAGTTGTTTGAGCATCTATAGTTGTGGTGCGTCGACTGATTGTTGCTGTCACTTTCAGGTGACTGACAATACGCTGGCTCGTTTGTCCATGAGCTGTCCGAACATCGAAGAACTCGTAAGTATCGACGCCTCGTGCGGCGTCCTTTTCAATGCGAACCCCTGTTTCTACCATTGCTGTTGTTGTTGTAGAGCTTGTCCCACTGTGAGCTGATCACCGACGAAGGAATGCGACAGCTATCCGCGGCACTGTGCCTTCAGGATCGCCTGACCGTTTTAGAGTTAGACAACTGCCCCCTGTTAACCGACGCTGCCTTAGAGTACCTAGCTCGATGCAAAACCATCACCAGGGTGGAGCTCTACGACTGTCAGTTGATCACGCGCAGTGGAATACGCAAATTCAAGGTATATTATCTCATTATTAAATCACCCTTCTATTTTACTAAGTTTCTCTGCTACTTGAAGGAAAGCTTATGGCCGTTAGGATGTTTATCTCCTATGCGTCGTCGTCATCGTCAGGATAATTACCTTGTGATACGTCGGATAATTTTCTGTGGCAGCTATTATCTACGGCTGGCGACAAAGGAAGAACTAAGAAATAAACTTAGTATTTAATGGATCTTGGAAGTGGAGAGGGGAAATGAGTGCAGTGAGTGGAATTACCGAGTGACAGTATCTTCGGTTTTCGCATAAATGCATTAAACGTGCCTTGTACACAGGTACGATGGCCACTGTTTATCAAACCTTTTTTCATTAAGCTGAAGATGAGCGACTCATCTTTGTCTCTTTGCTATCTGCCTGGTGTGCATCATTATTTTTAGGGTACTTCTTACAGTCATGTGGCAAGCAATGTACTCCCTTTTTTCTTCCCAGTCGTGTTGTTTGTCTATCTTTCGTAAGAATTACATTGAAGTGGTCGGCTGGAAGTTTGACCACAATCTTTCGGCTACCAGTCCATTATTTTACCTACTGGTAGAGCTGGCCTCTGTGGATAGTTTGTTAAAATAAAATTTATGTTTACTTAAATGTTTTATGCCCTTCTGAGTTAACTGTAGAGTTTCTGAGTGCCATAGTTAATTTCTTAATGATAACTCCCGCGTCATAAAATTATTCGTTTTCGTCTTACACCAGCCATATTCGATATTATAGTGTTATGTTACAAATTTATGATGTTATAGTACACAGTCTTGTTGATCGATTTTCTATAATTTTATAGAGGGCGTATGTTGCAGGTAGACTTTTTCCAAAAGTGCGTTGATGCCAAAATAAATTTATAATTCGATAAAACTTTCAGAGCCGTACTACTTCTGGTACTTTAGCCTTTATGCATTTTCTTCTTGACTAAAAAGTCTGGACGCCGTTCTGAGCCATTATTTTTGAATTGGTAGGAAGGCAAAACACCGGCTTGAAAAATCAGTGTTGCGAAAAAAACTGCATGTTTGTCAAACATGTGTGTATAGATTCTTGTTTTAAAATCAAAATTTTTTGTCTTATCGATGATTTTTCTCAG